GAGCAGGGCTGGGGGGGGGGGGGTCCCTCGCTCCCGGATCGGTCCTGGGAGGAGGGGGGGCCAAGAGGCTTTACCTTTGCTTGGAGAGAGGGGCGGAGGGAAGGAGGAGAGACCCTGCTGGGCCGGGATTTTGCCTGGGGGGGGGGTGGTGGAAGAGAAAGGGGCATCTTTCATTGAGTCAGTGCCCCAGGGTGGGTGGTCAGATTTAAGCTCCCCCCCCCAAGGCCAGGTCTGTGGGAGGAAGCAATGATCTTACTTGCTTTCCAAGAAAGGAGGCTTCCCCCCCCCCCGCACAGAAGGATCTCCAGATCTGGAGAAGAGTCGGGGGGCAGGGGGTACCAAAATACGTCCCTTCCACAGGTTTTGAGGCAGTAGGGCAGTGTTTCTCAACCTTGACAATTTTAAGGCATGTGGACTTCAACTCCCAGAATTCCACAGCCAGCAAAGCTGGCTGTGGAATTCTGGGAGTTGAAGTCCACATGCCTTAAAATTGTCAAGGTTGAGAAACACTGCAGCAGGGTCTCCAGACAACTTGTTCCTGTCCTTTGACTCCTCTTCCTTGACCGGGGGTGGGGGGGCTTGTCAACAGTTTGGGAACCCAACTTCTAGCCACCGTGTGGACTTTGTGGGGGCCATGATTAAAGTGTTGCATTAGAACTGGGCAGACCCAGGTTCAGATCCTGCCTCAGCTCTGGAAACTCATTGAGGGACTCAGGGCCGGCCGTTTTCTCTCAGTCCTGCCCGACCTTGCAGGAATGCTGTGTGCATGAAAAAGAGAGGCCTGTCCTGAATTCTGAAGGAGGAAAAAAAAAAGTGGGATGTAAATGCACAAAAATCAAACTTAAATCTTCCCAGGGACGAAGGCGCCACGATTCCTCCATCGAGGGCCCATGCTACAGCCTTGTTGTTGTGTGCCACACAGATCGTGCTTAATATTCTTGGTCACAAAGCTAGGGATGCCAGAAGGGAAACGGAGATGCCCGAGGTCCATTCTTCCTGGAATTCAGATTGAGAGGAAGGCCACCTGTCCAATCGTGGCTTTACCCAACCTGCATTTTTTTCTTCCATCAGAGACTGTGTAAGGTTGACATATTCCTGGTGATCTTAATAAGTTAGTGAAGGTACTCATCCTGGATCTGTGTTTCAACGATCTACGGTCAGTGCCTCCTGCAAATATCCCCCCCTCAGTTTCCAGCAGAATGCCCTTTCCATATTTCTTCAGAGAGAAAATCAAGGAGTGGGTGATGCCAACCAAACTCAGGACTGCTCCAGACCCCATGCTGGAAAACAAGTTGAATCTTTCAGCCAAGAACATCGTTGAATAGCTGCCATTATCTATAATATAGCTGGCAGCATCATTGAACATCGATTTCTAAACCGGTAGTGTCAAGAGAGTTAAGAGAGATGCTTATAGAATCAACAGAGCAGAGGGTTCAAGCAAATCCCATCAAAACCAGTTCTGGAAAGCAGGATTGAAGCTACCTTCTTTGGTAAGATCATCTTCTCCCAGAAGTCCCAACAGAACATCCTAAGTTCTTTCTAAATTCTTCCTAAGTTCTTATCTAAGAAGGCATCAAGAGATGATCCGGAGTAACAATGGACTGCTTACATTGAAGCCAGATCTGCAACTCTGAAATGGTGGCATGAAGGGCCAGTGACTCAAACCTTGGGAGATGGATCACCAATGAATTGAAAGCCAGCCACCTAGCAAAGGCCTTCTTGGGGAAAAAAAAGAAGCAGCAATTTGAAGAATCAGTCAACTCAGTTGTAGTGGAAAAATATAAAATCCTTGCCCTGAACTTTAAAGGAGAACAGGTGTAGAAGTCTTCCTTCTCTTTCAGAGGCCAGCAGGATAAACAGAAGCAAAGATGGTGGAAGACAATCAGCTCTACATGAAGGAACCAATCGGTCCCCGACCAGATGCTGGCAGGGTAGAGCTGCTTCCTAGACAAAGAAGCTTCTATGTTATGTTTTCCATTTGTTTATGGTGCTGAAGGAAACTGGAGCCATCTTGAGTCTCAAAACTCCAGCCAGGCTTTCTCACTTGAGATCCCCAGATCTGATGTGGAATGAGCCCAGTTCTAATTCAGCGCACTCCCTCTTATTTATTTATTTATTTATTTATATTTGAATTTATATCCCGCCCTTCTCCCGTAGGACTCAGGGCGGCTGACAATCTATTTAAAATACATACAAGACAATACAAATTTAAAATTAATTAAAAAGAATATTAAATATTTGTCGAATTAAAATATAATTAAAACCCCCCTAAAAATTACCCTAGGCCAGTCCTGCAAGCT